GAATTTGCTGTATATATAATAAGATTAGTTACAGATTTGTATCAAGATGATATTAATTTTGAACTATTTATTATATCCTGTATAATCACCTAAGTGTAGCAAAACACCTCTTAATTTTTTATTTGTAAACTAATTTAAGACTAGCTACCATTAGTTATATGGTAGAAGAGGAAAGAGGAAGCCCAATTAGATTTAATTCAAATTTTTATAAATTTTTAATTAAATTTAATTAGTTTTTAGTATTTAAAATTTTAGCTCTCATCTAACTTCTGTTATAGTAATTAAAAAAGTATAAAAATTTAACATATATATTTATTTAATACTATTTACTATAAAAATTTCGAAGTTGTAGCTTTTCTATTTAAAAAGTTAAAGAGATAAAATAAAATTCTGAAATATATATAGATAGATTAGGTTTGAGTTTGCTTATTTTTGACCTTTTTTTAATATAAATTATTTTTATTTTTAGTAATTAGTTTACTTATTTTTGACTTTTTTTGCAGATCTTTTTATATTTAGTAATTTTTGTAAAACTTTACCTTTCTATACATATTTTGAGGTCCTGGTAAAATACTTAAGATTTTTACTGTATTAAAGATCATATTATAGATGGATTATAAATTATTTTAAATTCTTGATCAGTGATTTTTTAAGTAATTTGTTATTTTATCAATAGTTTCTTAACACCCATTTATGTAGTTACACTTTTTGTCAAGTAATTCATGTGCATGTTTAAGGTAAAGTTGATGTTTAGAAGGGTTAGGCATTGTGCAAAAAGGATTTGATATTAAAAATTACAATTTACAAAAATTTTTTGAAATTTACTTTGATGTGTTTTTAAATGTTATTTACAAAAGCCAATTTGAAACAATTATTTTTTAATAACTTGAACAATATTATAAATAATTGCAAAAGTAACAACCGAAATTACAAAAGTCAATTTTAACAAACACAGTTACAAAGGTCAATTCGTAACAAACGCAATTACGAAAGTCAATTCATGACAAACGTCTATTTTTTGTTTAGTTGAGTGTACTGTTATATGTACTTGCAACAAAAGCCGTATTTTAAAAGGGCTCAGCACTAAATCTAACCCGAATTTTTTGATAATAAGCATTATTTTAAAATTATAAGGCCAGATTTTTAGTAACAAGGGCCGAGTCATCAACAAACGTAATTATTTCTGGTTAGAAGACGTTGAATAAGAACAAAAGACAAATTTTCACTAATGCAATGCTTAAAAATGTCTAATTGACTAAAAATTTTAACTATAGCTTGTTTTATTTACGCTTTAAGAGCAGTCTGTCACGAAAATTGCGTAAAAAAATAAATTCTATGAGGTGTTAATAAATAAAATCTAACTATAGTGTCATTGTTAATGCACCTAATTTGATTAATTAGTATATCGTAAACCCCAGTTTCACACGGTCTTCGATACCTGTTAACCCATGCAAAATTTAGTTATGTTCTACGACCCATACAATAACTAGAATATATTTTTATGAAATTTACCTCGAATTTAATACGTAAAAATTTCGTTTTTCTTAATACGACTTTTTGGCTGATAACAATTTTCTAAATTTGGGACTTAATGCAAGCCTACGTGCTCCGAAGAATTCCGACCTGAATTTTGCGCCACAATCGATACTAAATTTATCATTCTGTATAAATACGCAATCTAATTTTAGTTTTTTGAAACAATAAAAAAATGGCATTAGATAATCTTGATTGTCCCCCATTACCTGTTCGTTGGTAAGAATTTGACGATTTAAAAAAATCTACTTTGTTTTAACTAATTTTAACAAGGATACCCGTCTCTGGTTAGGTTTTATGCTGTAGACGTTCCATCATGGGACCCATTAAAAACACCAAAATCAAATAATTCTAAAACGCCCCCTGAAGAAAAGTGTCCCATGGTATGGGTTCCCTTTTCCAAGCGTGATTCAAACTCATTAGAAGCTGCTTATAAACTTGGTGTACCAGGAAAAAAAGTTTGTTGTAATGAAGATTATTTATTTGAAGTTGATTTAGATAATCGAGAAATTAGTCCGGTATGTTGATGTGATTTGAATAATGATGATACACATGCCGTGGAGATTAATTTTCATCTGTTAAATAATTATATAAATAATTATTATAAATTAGAATTTCTACCTTTATTATCGGTAGAAATTCTAATTGAATAAACTCCACTGATTATTAAATTTAGTTTCTGTTTCTGCGGCATGTATAAATAATGATTCATATATAATACTAAGTATGAATCGCACTAGGTATGTTATATGAATTAAATGAATCTATTCATTATTAACATAGATTTATTGGGTCGATGCGATATACCAAGTAGTAAGAGCTACATGGTTTTATCAAGGCGATGGCAATTTTATTCCATGCGATGAAAATTTATCTATCCAGATTGAGGAGGGTTACATGTGTGTTTAATCATAATTTTTAATATAATCTTAATGTAATTTTACTTTTTATATATGTATCATAAATTGATTATTTATTTGATTTCATGTTTTAATATTGTAAAGAAAACATAAATCATGGATTCCTGGTTCTAATTCAAACGATGCTACATCACCTGAAAAAAATTGGCATCTAACTGATAAATATCAGGGTCAATATATCGTATACACTAGTCCTAGTGTTGCTTGGCTGATAATGCATGTATACTTATAATTTAGTTGTTGCAAAGGGAAGACCATACTTTGGGCTTTTAAATTTACCGGATTCGATCCCTAAAAAAAATATGTCGAGTCATAAATTTGAAGCTAGAAGTGTGGTTTGTCTTAACGACACATTTATTTTCGTATATTCTAATTTTTAGTGCTAATTAAAGTATTTATTAATTTAGTGATGACTTGACAGGAAAATTTACAAAAACGTTATTTTCAAAATTTACAAAAGGTGAACATTTAGGTGGTATACGTCTTATAAGAGGATATCCCGAGGTCGAAAAATTTTTTAAAAAAAAAGCTACTGAGCCTGAAAATAAAAAGGAAAAATCAAAAGATGCGAATGATCAGGAAACTAATCAAAAGAAACAAGATGATGATTATGTTGAATCTGAGGATAATGATGACAGGGTTATCGATCATTTAGTTCTTTGTATTCATGGGTGAGTAAGGTGATTTGATGTGCACGAGTAAAATATATATAGATATCGAGATTTTAATTTCTGATTTTGATTATTCGAATTTATATGTTTTTATTATTCAAATTTTACTTAAATTTGTATTTTTTTTAAAAATTTAAAAATTTTGTCTAAACAATATATAGTATTGGACAAAAATTGAGCGAAAGAGACGGCGAAGCTAGTTTTATTAATGGTATGTTGGCAGTTATCATATATGCATGCATTTCATAACGACATAAATAAATTTTTTAAATCGCTTAATATATTACATTTAATCTTAGAGATAAATAAATTTAGACAAACTTTGAAAAAAGTATATGCGACAAACCCACCACCGGAAGCAATTGCAAGACTAGGAAATCGTGAGTTATATCCAGAGTACGGTTTGCGTAATAAAAAAGGAAGCCAATTTGGTAATGGTATACAAGTTATACCGATTCATTGGCGGCAAGACATTAAGGTAATAAGGAATCCAGTATTTTTATTGCCAGAAATATATTCACAGATATATAGGAATTAAAAATATTTTTATCTTATGTATTTATTGCAATAAAGTTTGGAATTGCATCAGAAAATGAGCAAATTCAACGAGACTTAAGTCTGGCTATTAGTGAAGAAGGTCAGCCTACCTTGGATGAAATCACTTTAGAATGTGTTCCGAATTTAAGATTATTAATTTCAGATGCATTAGTAGATGGTAAATTAATTTAAGATGTTTGAATATGGCAATTTTTATTTATAAAATTCAAATTTATTTACAGTATAAATATTTTTTTAGTATTATTATACATGACACCAAAATTTAGAGAAATGATGCTAACTACCGTGACAAATGAGATGAATCGCGTCTACAAGTTATTTATAGATCGTAATCCAAATTTTTTAAAAATTGGTGGCAAAGTTTCGCTTTATGGACATTCACTTGGCTCGCTTTTAGCTTTCGATGTTCTGTGCCATCAACCACCATTTGTTGGATCGTTTGGTGGAATATATGAAGAAAATTTATCATCTTCTGTTTCCTTAAGTGATATTTCTAACCCTTTTTATCGTTCACAAGATTCAAATATTAACGGATCGCATGCTACAATGTCTCCTGTAGAATTAAATTCGAAACGTACATCTGTTTCGACTTTACATCATAACGAATCTCATCATGATATTGATGATTATCATCATCATGGTTACATAGACAGACAATTGTACAGAAGAAAGCAAAAGCAACTAAATGTGAAGTTGGAATTTGAAGTTGAAAATATGTACGCTATTGGTTCACCAATTGGATTGTTTCTATTGCTAAAGGGATTAAAGATTGGAAGTAGAGAATATTATAATGCCATTAGTAAGGTTAATCAATCAAAAACTTGGACAGATATAAGTTTGGGTAACGAAAATGAGGATGTACGGAACGGTGATGAACATATAAATGATACTGAAACGATTACAAATGAAGGAAATGATGATAGAAAAGATGTTAATGACAAACAAGAACAGAATAAGAAAATATCATCTGGAAATCTTCCATTTTATGAAGATATAGAACATATGATGCAAGATTCTGTAACTTTGATCCCACTCTGTTATCCAGCTTGCAGAAACGTTTATAATATCTTTCATAAAGCTGGTAAAAAAAAGTTTTCTATCTTTGATGTGATTTGTGATCATGAATTACTATTAATTTTATTAATTTTATTATGTTATTAGATCCAATTGCATTTCGAATGGGTAAAAGTTTATATTTTATTTGATTTGTATATATTATATATATGTCGCGGGAACAGGATTTAAGTGAATTTGGAATTTTGGATTACGTTGTACATTTATAGAAATTCCGAATCTACTTAAATTTCGTTCCCGCCTACAACACATTAAAAGCTTTCGAATGCTTTTTCTTTAAAAATTTTATATTTTGTTTTCATGCAATTTATTTTAAATGTAGAAAAAATTAAATTAAGTTTTTTCCTAACTATAAAAAAATAACATCTATTTTGTTTGTATCACAATAAAACAGAACCCCTAGTAGCACGTCACTATTGCAGAAATCTCAAGCCCGCTTTAGTCCCATACCACAAGGGTGGACTCAAGGCTGTACAATTAGGATTTCAAGAATTCGGTCTAAACGTTTCGAAAACAACAACAAATATACTTAGATCTTTAAGCTTATCGAAACCTAATCCGGATGAATCAATGAGTAAACGTAAGAATAATAGACAAACCAGAGAGAAACATTTTATAGAGCGTGAATTACTTAAACGAAAACAATTGAAAAAGTTATATGCGGAGGCGGGGTCTTCTATAAGCTTAATAAATGGTGGCGATACAAGAAATTCTAGTCGTAGCAGTTTAGCAAGTATTAGTAGTGATGGTCGAACTAGTATAGATGGTCGAACTAGTATCGATGGTCGAACTAGTATCGATGGTCGAACTAGTATAGATACAGGAGTAACAAGAAATTCAGTCGATGCGAGTTTTGAAATAGAACGTAGGGGTAGTATGGATAGTAATTTGGGAGTTTATGGTAAGGAAAGTCCCAGAGGGCTGTCTGTCGAGGCAAGGGAAAAGTATTATATGTCTCAGGTTGAGTTGTCATTGACAACGGAAAAGAAAGAAACGTTCTATCAAGTGAAGACATCAAGCTCACCTACGTTGACTGAAGGTGGGGAGTTAGATTATCAAATTAGTGGAGAAGAAAAGTTGAAGAGCCTAAACAAAAGTGGAAGAATCGATTATTGTTTACAGGTTATTTATTATCTTTAAAGTACATGTTTCAGACTTTTATTAAATTCTAACCTGATTAATAACTATCACTTATCAAACAGCAAGGGGTATTAGACGTTAGTTACATATCTGCTATAACCGACCATCTTAATTATTGGGGCGATTGTGATGCAGCCTACTTTGTTCTGAGGGAGACTTATAAAACTTATGATGATGACAACGGTGATGATAACTGATTATTTTACTCAAGTTAGCTGAATGTTACTTTCGCTTGCATCTTTATAAATGCTTAGAATTATTTATTGTGACGGATTAAAATGAAATCAGATTTAAAAATGAACCTTTGTATAGTGTAAAATAGACAAGCCACCAAAAAATACAAACTTTTGGGGTGCAATTTTTTTTTTTTTTAGCTTTTTTTAACGTTAGGGGTCATCTATAGGGATTATCTTTAGGGATAGGATTTATATTTAACAATTATAAGTGTGTTTTAGGAGAAATTCCAAATTTCATTTTACTCCATTTCATTATGATCCGCGACATTTATTATTCTATCATCATTTTTATTGTATTTATTAGACACTCATTGATTGTAAATTTATCTTGCAATATCTTATGTCTAAATTTATTGTAAAGAGAAATGTCTTGTTTTGTATTTGATTAAATGAATATCATATTTGCTGAATAAATTACCACGAATAAATTGTCTGAATGTATCATAAAAAAAGTGAGTTAAGAATCCGAACTTTATTTTACTGTATGAGCCTTCTAGTAAAGGTCGCAGACAGTTATTCCGAATATAATTGTTAGATCGTGAGATATTGGTATGGATATTATTCACTTTGTAACTATATATTATTCTTACTCGTTCCAATTTTATATGAATATTACATAAGTTCATTATTTTTGGTACACACGTGCCTTGCGAGTCGTTCAAAATACTATCGAAACGATTAGAACACTGATCGTAAATGGCTTCAATTACAAATTGAATTTAAGTTCGGTTCAATGAAAATTTAAATATGTATTTAACAAATTTTCTCTTGACATCACTCACATGGTATGCGCAACCTAATGACATTAGACTTTCAACTTGTTTTTTCCTTAATTGTATCTTCTCAAAATATCTTGTTTAATAATTGTGGCGAAATCGACTTATGTTGAAATTTGAGGTCTCTATAATATCTGCTAAAATCCGCATATACCATATTGTCGCGAAATAACAGGCCGGGGGCGTTATTTAGAAAATCGTACCCCCTAAAAATAATATATATGGTTTCAAAATAACGCCCCGGCGCGTCTCTAAATAACGCGCATCCCAAAAAAGTGCTTCGGGATAGGTTTTCTTAGTACCAAACTTACTTCTTCAAAAGCACTTTTTTGTTTACTTAAAAAGTTTATATTTGTTTCAAAATAACGCCCTGGCGCGTACTCTAAATAACGCGCCTATACTCAAAATAACTGGGTGCGTTATTTCGCGACAATACGGTACTCTTTTATTAATAACACCACCCTAAAACCTTAACCTAAACATGAGAAAAGGCCCCAAATTTTTTTAGTTTTATAATAAAATACGGAAAATTTTCAGCATAAGCTGCCACAATAATTTTTAAGAGATCATTCAAAACATGTATGGTATTGGTAAAAAGATTTGATTTGAACACTACACACACTACAGATAAAACTAGATAATTTTATATTTGAGTCAGGGGGATAACGGATACATATTTACAGATAGTCGGATATCTGTTTAACTATCCGATGCTCGATTAATATTAATAACAATGTGTTACCTGTTACGTACTGTATTAGTAGTGACATTACTGATATATTATATACGTAATATATAACATTTATCTTGATTATAGAATTTTTCATATATATCTTATTAATAAAAATATGTATATATATCTTGAGTGTAAAAGTTTTTTTTTTTACATCTTTTTATAATAATAGATAATTATTTACTCGAGAGTAGTGATCCGGTAGAATCTTCCCAATGATGGCTGTCACAGGGATTACAGAAGATCAGTATGGTATAACTAACCGGATCAGTATGGTATAGATGTGATTTTATCAAACCGTACTAT